GTAGTGGCCTTTTAAAAATAAGAAATGTGTTTGCCAAAAGATATTTAAAATAAGAAAAGTCAATAGTGACTGAGTCAGCCAACTGCGGTAAAAGTAGGTATAAATAGTTGTTTTTTTTTAATGCGTTTATTTGAGGTCGCCGCCGGAAAGCCCACATGGGCGACCGTACACTCAAGTCGGGCCATCCTAGAGCATCCCGCCGAGACTTGTTCGTCGATTTTTTTTCCAGCTTCATTGGTGGAGGAAGACCCCAGGTGCCCCTCCTAGCATTATTTCAGGCACGAGCGGGTACCTGGTAAGAACCACCGACCTTCCGTAAGTCAGCTACATGAAATATGTCGCCGCTATGGTTATATACATGCAAGTGATGACGTCACAATAAAAGTTAAAAATAACTTAAATATATAAGGCCAATTAGTGCGAAGAAAACGCAACAGCCGCTGAGGTGTATTGGTTAGCATACTGGACCGGCAATCCAGAGACCCGTGGTTCGAGTCCCGCTGCGGCGTGCCGATTTTTCGTGCGATATATATGTATATTATATATAAATGACTTATTGAGAAATATTGATGGAATAAAATTTAAAATGTAATTTTAAAGAATTTCCGTTACTTTCTTCTAAATTATGCCAGCTTACAAAATTTAACGGAAATTCTTTCAAATTGTATTGTCAAAAAATGTATATAATAAACAGAAATATGAAGAAAAGCAATCATTGAATTTTCACTTAACATTAAATGTGTCTGTTATTATCATATTAAAAAAAACAATCGTGATATGATATACTTTATCCACTAAAACATTTATTGCGTTATACGTTTGCAAATTAAGGTGTTGTTTTATCTCGATTAAAATATCCTTCACGGTATTACAAAATTAAATATTATATTAAACTAAGGAATACCCTGCGTTAAACGGTCTCCAAAAAAATAGAAAAGAAAACGGCATGATCATATGATATCAAATCAGTGGCATGCCTACTTTTCTCTATTATTAAATGTAAGGGACATAATCTAATTATACAAGGGTTACCTCGCTTGGCACGCCTCAACTATTCTAATAACTTTTCTCCATTATTAAATGTAAGGGACATAATCTAATTATTTGCTACTAAACACAGCTACAAGGGTTACCTCGCTTCGTTTTAGAAATTCCGTGTAAACGAGTGCTGTCGTATTATTATTATCATACATGTACTTTCGCGATATAGTGTTTTCATTATCTTATTTAATACGATCTTTTTAAATCGTTTGTTATTATAGAAAATAATGCCTATTTTTCAAACGGCAAAAAATTAAACATCCTAACACAATGTTATGTTTTATTCCCATTTAAACTTAGATTTACAAAAAATCTTAATCTATCAACTGTTTTTCTAACGTCTTCTACAAGTCCTAGCCTAGTTTATTAATGAATCTACAATCATAATATATCACCATATTACTACAATTTGATATAATATTTTAATATACAGTCTTACATGCCCATGCGACCACGTGTATTTAGCGACTTTTGTCTAAATGCGACCACTGTAAAGTCCCACCCCCGCTCTTTTTCATTTTGCGACTTTTGCCCAACCCGACCGGTGACCGCTAACTTGTACCCAGTTTCAGTACTGCTTTAGAAACTATCACCAAATAAACCGTCTCTTGTGAAATGTTCCATTTTAACCTGTCCTTGGGGAAATGTGGAGCATATTACGGGTAAAATGGAATATCCTCCTAAATGAAGTAAAACCATTCCAAAAAGACAATGTTAATAATTTTACTTTCTTCTGTCGGGGCAGAAAAGTATTTATAAACATAAAGACCTCCTACCAGGTAGCAAATGTACATCTAAATAGCGTTTTTTTTTAAATAACAAGCAAAACTGTGTTAGTAAATATTATCATTATATATCTAATAAATTTAACAAATCGACAATCTGCATTTGTACCTCATGACCGTCCAATATATCATTTTCATATTGGACGGCTGGGTACATGCTTACTAAACGATGCTGATCTTCGATTTCAATCTCTAACAAATTTAAGACCGGGAACCATGTCAATGTGATATTTCTATTTTATTTAGAGTTACAGTTGTAGTAATGCTTATAAGTTGGAGTAACAAAGTCCTAATTAGGCTTTAAAAACTCCTTACTGCGAGTTATAGGTTTGAAATAAAATGGCACAAGACCGCTTCCGTGCCAAAACGTTGTCATTTTGTTAGAGACTTTCGACCATGTGCGGCCACCTACACGCATCGATGACATATTTATAGGAAAGTGAACGTGCGACCACATACACGCATCACAAAAGTCCCCTTTTCATGCGAGAAGGGGACAATAATTTGTCCATCCCTTTTATGAAAGGGCAGACTTTAAAAACATACCTTTTCTTATCGTTATTACTAAGAAGGCTTATTTTCGCATGTCTGTTTTGAATTGATATATACAACTCTAGTTACGCAAACCAAGCGGGTCTTCATTTGTCGTCCTTTTGAGTTCTCTATGAAATTTTGACAAGTTCATATATAATTTCATGGCAAATCTTGAGTTTACAGATTTTCCTTTTTTTTTTCATTTTTGTATAAAATAGAAATTACTTTATTTCTGCAGAACATAAACGTTTCGAAAACGTTTTACGTGAATTAAATGTGGGAGATCTATTGCAAATATTTACCTGGAGGAATTTTGGCCATATTTTTTTCCTTTATTGACCTGTAATAATGAAGGTAATGTGATGGGCTACCGACTGTGTGGGTTTAAGTCCCGTCAGAGGAAAGCCGTGGTTTCTTTGAGTGAGCAACTTTATACCCACATCGTATTATGACAGAATGATGCAATGATCGATGGCAGCAATCTAAATTTATTACTGTATACTTCTTGTTGTAAGTAGGTTATGAATTTAATTAGGACATAAAATTTACACATTACGCAAAAGAAGCACTTTTATTGTTAAAGACTTAATTCCACTGGCAAACTGATAGCGAACAGCATGGATCCTGATCAGACTGCGCGGATGCGCAGGCTGGTCTGGATCCATGCTGGTCGCAAACCCATTAATTATGTTGGTTTTGTCATGACGCGGCTCATATAGTTTCCATGCTGCCGATGATGGTAGAAACGCTCTGAAAGTGGCTAAAATGATGATATGATATCAAGATCACTCTTTAATTAATATGTATACAAGTATTCCACAGATTTGTGTACAGGATGTAAACATGTACTTTTAATGTAACTTTATTCTTAGCGTACTTTTTATTATATAAAATTATAACGCTTAACTATAATAGTGTGTATTATTTTCGAAAGATAGAAAAGTAATTAAAGCGGTAGGTGCATCGAAAAAGCTTTTTATCGACATGCAGTTACAGATAAAATATGATTCACTACGACCAAATTGCATTATTATATATAATAATAAATAGAGCAATTAACATGAAAAAATGTCCTATATTTATGATCTGATCTTATGATGTCATCTGATCAGTTGTGTCACTCACTGCTGAGTTTATATTTAAAGATCTATTCTTGTCTGTATGATATAGATTTGCTCTAAAATTAATGGACTTTTTTTTTCATTTTAAAGGGACTCGACTGAGGTTTTTTGACATGATGGGACTGAAAATATTTTTCCAGATAAATGTACCATTTGATGTAGGTGTAGACCACGAATCTTTGTGCAAACTTTCAGATCATTCGCGTGCTTCGTTTTTCCAGAATAATTATTCAAATTGTAAAAAATGTCCCAAAATGTTAAACGCTTGTCCCTCAAATTAGTCTAAGAAAAGCATAAAACTACGATTTTCGATTTATTTTAAAGTATATTTCTTAACTATCTTTGCATATATTTCTGTTTAAAGCGTCCCAGTTCATTTATGTAAGAAATTCTAATGTTATGTTTTAAAGGCTTTTAAACCTCAGTGGAGTCCCTAATTTAAAATAACGTTTACTGTGTGTCATTAAAAAGATTTGTCCGGTGCACCTATCGTATTGCAAACACTTACATCAGAAGAAAATACTAAAAATTAAAGTCGAAAACCACGTAGTAATTAAGTTAGTAACATAAGGGGACATGCAGAATGAAAATTGTATATAATATACACGGTGCGTAGGCCCTAATCGTTTCGGGCTGATTTGGAGTATTTCCCCGTTCCTGAACTGATTTGGATTTATGGCTGATTTGAATTGATTAAGATAAAATGGATTTTAGCTTGACAAAATAAACACATTTACATCTTTTAGTCTTTGAATATTCTACTTGCATGGAACATTGCAATGTTTAAGGAATTCATATACAACTTTATAAGGTTTTTTAACGGTCTTTTATCAGTTGGAATCGAAAAAACAAATTTCACATGTCAGTGAAGTAATAATAAACACTAGCATAAAAGTGCCAAAAAAGTTATTATTATCTTCGACTTTTCAGGTATTTCATGTTCATTTTATAGAAAAAAAATCATTCCGCGATAATTTTATGGTTTTAGTAAAAAATTTTGTCCAGTTATGAATGTGTATTACGTATTTTTATAATTGTTATATTATAATTATTCGGAAACACAGGTTAATTATATACTGCGAGCCGGCTGCCCCAACCCCAACTCTAAAAAGTACGTGTCCCGTGCATTAATTATTCTACCCAAATATAAACCAAACAGCAAAAACATATATAAAGTAGAATAAAAAGTACCAAAAAGAAAAGAGTATGAAAAAAACATGACTTTTTAAATTTTCATTTGAATTGGAGAGGTTTTCAATTCACTTGAATTATTGCGCGATTTAATCAATGTTTGATATTAATAATTGAATTAGAGAGCTTTCCAATCATTTAAAAAAACTCTCTACAGTACTATGATTTTGCACATCTCTAATTGAAATTGAGACTTGAAGAGCTCTTGAAATTTTCCAATTTGAATTTATATATACAATGTATATATACATACATGTAGATTTGGCATCCCATACATTTATAAATGTAATAACTACAAGTTTATTGTTTACGTATCTGACCATTTGATATCATGTATCAAATTTGGAAGGGACTGGCATTTGAAATTTGCCAATTCGCGTATTAAGAATAATTATGGCACATGTCCCTTCAGGTATTCCGTAGTTTGTACAGGAAGTAAACAGAACATGTATACAACACATTTAACGTATAATTTTTTTCTCTTGTTTTAATAACGCTTTACCTTAGTTTAACAGGAAAACTTCATTGATATTTAGATGCTTAAAATACAGGGTTTACATGGCGAGGGATTTTTTCGCAGAATATTGCATTGTCAGTAAATTAAATCGAATATTAGTTACTAAATGATGTAGTAACCGTACAGTACCCAATTTCGGATATTTGATCTATTTTTAAATGCACTTTGAACTAGCGGTTAGAGATAAACAAACGGGTCAAAGTAATGCTGTATAGTGATACTGATAACGAAGATTTTGAGCTTCACGACTTCGAATGTCAGACGAGCAATCACTTTTAGTCCAGACTTCAGCAAGGATGGGTCGTGCTCAATATAGCTCGGATTCTGAAAAAGAGGGCAGTATTAAAATAGATACAAAAATGGACCAAAAGGAAAGAAGCACACCATGCTTTGTGTTTGTACTTTCATTTTTCTCAGCAATTGGTGGATTTTTATTTGGTTATGATACTGGTGTGGTCTCTGGAGCTATGTTGCTAATTAAAGATCGTTTCCAATTAACTTCAATTAAAGAAGAAGTAATAGTCAGTGTGACAATAGGATTTGCTTTTATATTTGCTCTAATTGGAGGCTGGTTAAATGACAGGTTTGGTAGAAAGATGACGACTATTTTAGCAAGTATTGTGTTCACAGTTGGGGCCGTAGTCTTGGCTGCAGCTTACCAATTTTGGATGCTGGTGCTTGGTAGGGCCATTCTAGGCATGGGAATAGGTATGTTTCATACATAGGGGGTTGTATCGGTGCCTGGACTCTATATTGGGGTTATTTGTGACCAAAACTAGGTCTATAAATCCTTATATATATGTCTATATCAGAGATTTTTTTGGCTTATCTTACAGCCGTTATTGGGTCATATTCCCAATTGAAAATAGTATATATTTTTCCCAATCCACAGGAAAATATTCCCAATTGAAAGTTTAAAAAGAATTTGAATATGTTGTTCTTAAATCTTTGAAAATAAGGGCTTCTTCACTGTAGGCCTAATAGTGCTTAAATGTTTGAAGATGCCATCCTAGACAGTGAATGTTTGCATTCATTTAATAAATTACTGTAAAATTTCTGTCATGCATTTTTATCCCAATTTTCAACAAAACATTGCTAAAATTCCCAAATTACATTAGTATGGGTTGTATTCCCAAAATCCTGGAAAAAATCCCTGGATTGTCACCTGTTTTTTTTTGGTCTGGACCTAGTTTTGGTCACAAATAACCCCAATATAGAGTCAAGGCACCGTTACAACCCCCTTTGGTTTCATAGATATATATAAGGGTTTTTATTATGATTTTTGGTAGCTGGATAAAAAATTTCCCTGCATTATGTGTTTGGCCATCTGACTGACTAACTTTCTTGGATAATTTCTTTCTTGTTTCTTTCTGGCATTAAGGCATTTACCTCCCTCTGTGACAGACTCATGTTTAGTAAAAAAAAAAAAATTTTGTTTGGCAATAAATTTTTAGGTACCTGTGATTTTTTGTGGGTAGGTATTGTGGGTAGGTAGCAGGAAGGGAAACAAACAATGTTTATTTTAGGTTTTATTGAAACACTTCAGAATATTTCTTTATTATTTAATGATCACCCTAATGATAAAAATTAAAGTTTTAAATTTTTTAAAAAACTTTATTACATTGTAATTTGGAAAATTTGAAAAAACTTTTATAAAATTTACACAATACTAATGTACACATATTAAGAATGTATAAAAGAAAAAAAAGGGGAATTTTAAAGTGCATTTTTTAGTTAAAAATTGAAATAAAATTTTTTTCCCATGGGATATTTTTCTAATTAATTTTTACATTATAACTGTATAAACTCAGTTTTTCATCATGTTTTTAACCTTTCAGCACAAACTTTAAAAGAGGTCATTAGCTTGTTATTTTTCAGCCAGCAGTTATCAAATCCATTTTTGATTTTTAAAGCTTTTTAAGGGTTTTATTGAGAATGCTTAATTATATTATGTACAATAATCCATATAAAAAAAACATACATAAAATATATCAATACATTGTACATGTATTTGAAACTATTTTCATGCTGTCAGTTTTGTCATGGAATTTAATTTTCAATTTGTTAATTATATATATATTTTTTGCCAGCTCCAAATTTTGTAACCTGGCTCATCCACCTCCAGGAAATATTAGGCACTTTGACTTTTCAAGCCCATGTTAAAGGTCCATTGTAACTTGTAAAATCTAAAATATGTTCTAAAATCCCCAGCACTGCAAGTTGGAAATATTTTTTTATTATTTTTTTTCCCCAACTATTTTGATGTGTGAGCAAAACCATTGTATTGACCCAGCAGGGACAGATAGAAAATAAAGTACTGACAATTCCTGTCCACTACTATACCAGGCTGTTAGGGGGTGGGCTTATCAGTTGATACATATAAATGACTGGTGGTTGACCAGTTAGAAAGATATCATTGTGATTATGAGCATGGAGTTTGCATGAAGTTTTTTATCCATGCATGAAGTTTTTTTCATCCAATATTTTCAAAAATGCAATAAATGTCATATGAAACGTTTTTACGGAAGATTGGCAGAGTTTTAAGGGGAGATAATTGTTTCAGGCATGGCGTCCATGACGGTGCCCGTATATATTGCTGAATGTGCACCAATGTCTATGAGGGGCCGTTTAGTAACCCTCAATACACTCTTCATAACTGGTGGACAATGCATTGCCAGTATTATTGACGGTGCATTTAGTTACGACAAAGAACATGGATGGAGGTACTCTTTAGTGATAACTTTACATAAATCTGCTCATAAAAGCTTTTAAGAAAGGTCACAATTGCCCATGTTCCTATGCGCAGCTTTTAGTGGAAGTACTTGAAAATGGTCAGGTAATTATTATATTGTATGGTATAGACAAGCTTGACAAAGACTGGTTTGGAACTTTTTCCAGGAATGGCTTCAATGACGGTGCCAGTCTATATCGCGGAATGTGCGCCAATGCATATGCGAGGAAGGCTGGTAACTCTTAATAACCTGTTTATAACGGGCGGTCAGTGTGTGGCGAGTGTTGTAGATGGCGCCTTTAGTTACGATAAAGAGAATGGATGGAGGTAAGGGAATGTTTTATTAACAGTATGGAGAAGCATGACTGTGTTTTAAAGGTATTTTTTCATTATTCTTTTATCTTACTTTGTTTCAGTGATGGTTGAAATGTTCTTCTTTTATCATTTACACTTAATTAAAGGCTTGGGCCAATCCAGAATGGCGATAAAAGAGTCATGACCCCTTATGAATAATGAGTAAAATGCTAAACCCCTCTAGAATATGCATTTTTTATCAAGATTATGCGACCCCCTCTGGTAAATATTCCTTGATCCGCCCCTCAGAGCTTCTATAAGTTAGTAGATTTGACCTTATGTTACAATGCAAATCTGTTTAAGAATTACTATAGATATTTCTCTCTCAAAAACAGTTCATCAAAAACATGCTCAATTAGAAGTAGGCCTTGACAATTTTTACTCGATTTTCCTTTATGTTACCTAAATTATTTATGCTTATGTTACTTACAGATGGATGTTAGGCCTTGCTGCTGTGCCGTCTATCGTACAGTTTATCGGGTTTATTTTCTTGCCAGAAAGTCCTCGTTGGTTGATTGCTAACGGAAAAAGTGATACAGCTCGAACAGTTCTAGTAAATATACGAGGGACCACAGACATAGAATCAGAATTGGAAGAAATCGAGGCAACTGTTGAAGAAGATAGGCTGGAAAAGGAAAAAGCAGGTGCCTGAATTATAGTCATTTGGTACATAGTAAAGTAAATGAAAAATATATATAAATTAGGTATTTGAGATTTGAAAAAAGATCAGGTATATATTTCCAGTTAATGATTAATTCTTCATTTATTAGTTACAATATACATTACAACCTGTGCAGAGCAATACCATAATGGAGACAAAGATTTTGGTTTCTGTTGAGAGGTATTGCTCTATAGAGGTTAAATTTATTGTTAAATAATTATTAAAGAAATAATATGGATGTTGTACAGAGGTTACTGCTTTATGGAGGGCTGGCTCTGCAGAGGTTAAACTGTATTAAGCTTCAACTATTTCACAGCTTACAATAAGCATTCTCAACATCAATGTTGTTCCATACAATGAGGGGCGGAGAGATGATAGACAAGCTCTTTGGATGTCTGTGACTAAGTGGTAAAAGTTGCTGACCTTGAACTTGCCCCTCATTTCTATGGGTTTGAAATTTTTTTACCAATACAAAGTCTGGAACAGCCATGACTGGAATTGCATTGAATAAATGAAAAAGAAATTCTTAAACTATTTATGTTGTTTCCATATTTCACATATTTTCGTTGGTAAAAAAATACCCCAACAACTTATTTCCTGCTTTTTTCCTTCAGGTTCAAATGTATTTATGAAGATATTGAGGACTCCGCCTGTAAGGAGGGCCCTCATTGTGGGGTGTGGCTTACAACTTTTCCAGCAACTTTCCGGTATAAATACTGTCATGTAAGATTGGAAACCCATTTTCTAATTTTAGTGTTTGTCACCAATTTTAATATTTATAATTTAATTAAAATTATACTTATTGATAAACACAAATTTGTATGACTGAAATGTCAAGAAAAAAAAAGTCATATATTTTAATTGATTTAACTTTGATCGAACTAGAATACTTTGAAGGAACTCCACTGAGGTCCAAAAGCCTAAAACACAAATTTCCGATCAGCAGAGGCACTTCAAACTAAAAAGGATATGCAAACAATAATTAAGTAATATACTGAGAACTAAAATTGAAAATCATATTTTATGCTATTTTTAGCCCAATTTGAGTGTCATTTTTCACAATTAGAATAATTATTCTGGATAAACGAAGAAAGCGATTATCTGGAATTTAGCACTCAAGTTATTGGTCTGGACCATCATCAAATGACCTTGAAAACAATATTTCCTGTTCAGTCAGTGGGGTCCCTTTAAAGCAAATTTTAAGATGTAAATGTCAGGAAAATTTGACCTACATGAGCAACCAGGTTACTAAAGAATCTATATATGTAATTGGACCTACTTTGGTATACATATTATGTTGTCTGAAATTTGTTATCTGAAATATGTCATAAATTTGATACTTAATTTCATCTCAATTAGTTGTATACCTAGCTGTTGTATGTGTTTCGAGCAGTTAAATGTTTGACTTACTTAGTAACTAGTAAATGTTAGGGTAATAGTGGACAGCTTGTATAAGTAATTAAGTCCTCTTCATATAGATAAAGTGTGACTGAAAACTACCTTAAGCAAATCTGTTGAAACATTTTCTCTTACATATTAGGTATTTAGCTTTTAATCTGTTAGGGCTTTAATCTGTTAGGGCAGGGCAGTCTTTTGACAATTTAGTCGCTGATGATACAAAATGAAAATTATTTTCAATAATTTGTTGATGTGGGAAAAAAAAATGATTTGCAAGAATCTGAGAGGCATTTACTTACAAACTGTGATGTTAATTATTCATAAGGGGCCTCCTTGGCCAAGTGGTTTGGGTTGCTGACTTTAAACCACTTGCTCCTCCATTTCCTGCAGTTATATTTTTGGAGTTAAGCTCCTTTTAATCTTAGAATTGTTGTTAATATTTGTTCTTTTAACAGATAGACATTAACACTGCATGCCATGCTCATGTTTAAAGTTTTATATTTTGATTATATATTTTGATTTCTCTCTGCAAGGGAAACATTTCTATTGTATCATTTTGTATTTATTTTGAAATATTAAAATAAAGTTATTTGTGATTCTGATAGGCTAAGATTCAGATTGGCTGCACATATGGTACTATAATTATAAGAATGTCAGCAAGAAACAGGTTACTGATGCAATTTTTGTGTGTTTTAGGTACTACAGTGCCACTATAATCAAAATGTCAGGTGTCCGGAAACAAAGTGATGCAATATGGTTAGCTGCCGCCACAGCTGGTGTTAATTTTGTGTTCACTATAGTGGCATTGTTCCTTGTAGAGAGATTGGGAAGAAAAAAACTCATTATGGGAAGCTTGTTTGGTATGTTAAAAAACCTGTATACAGGGTTGTCATTTATATCTGAGGCAACAGAATGATATGCCAATGAAAGCAACTGATTTGGCTATGGGTATAGGGGGATATTTTGATAAACAGGCTTTAACCGATATAGATTGCCAATCTGTAAATAATGAAAACCTTTGTATAAGAAGTGTTTTATTTTAAGTCCAAATAAAATTAAATAATATAACCTGAAATTTTTTTTTAAAACCAATCACATTTACAAGGTTGACAGACGAGTCCAAATAAGATTAAATAATACATGCATAACCTGAATATATTTTTTATAACCAAAAGCATTTACAATGTTGAAAGACTTGTTTCTAATTGCATGTTTACATGGATAATCATTAATTTTTGTATCATTCATTTTGCGCAATACATATATATAATACCCATGTTTTGATTGAAGTTAACATATTGTCGCCTAGTGAGTAAGATTATTGACTTTGAATTGTTTGCTCATACTGTTACTGGTTCAAATCCAATATGTTTCTATCAAGATAGAAATGTAGCTATTTGTTCTGCCCAGGCTCCCACTGCTGTAGAATATCAAATGCTGTTACCTACTATATATAGCACAATTCTAGATAAAAAAAAATCTTTTTTTGCGAAACTTTGATATTGATTTATTATTAAAATGTTTTACATGTACTTGTTTTTCAACTATACCAGTTGGATTTGTTTTCTAGTGGTCTTGTACACTTTATTAATGGCAGTTTGGTGAAAACTTCAAATTTATGTCTGCAAAAATTACTAGAATTACAAATGAATTGTTACCGTAAACATTTTAGCAGTGGTTGTTTGATGCACTACATTTTCTAATGATCCAAGCGTTCTTAGTATAATATTGAAGAAATTTGGCAAATACATTCAATTTACTTTGGTTTTTAGCTCACCTGAGCATATGCTCAGAGTGAGCTATTAGGATCACTCTTCGTCCGTCGTACGTCGTCCGTTGTCCGTTCACACTTTTAAAACGACATCTCCTCTGAAACCATAAGGCAGATCATAATGAAACTTCACAGGGATGTTCCTTGTGGTAAGCCTTAACAAAGTTGTTCAAAGAATTCCATTCCATGCAGAACTCTGGTTGCCATGGCAACCAAAAGAAAAAACTTTAAATATCTTCTTCTTCAAAACCCAAAGAGCTAGAGCTTAGATATTTGGCATGAAACATCTTCTAGTGAGTGTCTACACAGTTTGTTCAAATAAAAGTCCTGCTGTCAAAATTGGCCCCGCCCCAGGGGTTCATTGATTTTCCCTATATGCATATAGTAAAAACTTAAAAAATCTTCTTTTAAAGAATCCAAAGAGCTAGAGCTAAGATATTTAGCATGAAACATCTTCTAATAGGTGTCTACCAAGTTTGTTCAAATAAAAGCCCTGGGGTCAAAATTGGCCCCGCCCCAGGGGGTCATTGATTTTCCCTATATGCATATAGTAAAAACTTAAAAAAATTTCTTTTAAAGAATGCAAAGAGCTAGAGCTAAGATATTTAGCATGAAACATGTTCTAATGGATGTCTTCCAAGTTCGTTCAAATAAGAGCCCTGGGGTCAAAATTGGCCCCGCCCCAGGAGTCATTCATTTTCCTTATATGTTTATAACAAAAACTTAAAAGATCTTTTTTGAAAAAAAAAACAAATAGCTAGAGTTTAGATACTAAGCATGAAACATCTGCTAGTGAGTGTCTTCCAAGTTTGTTCAAATAAAAGCCCTGGGGTCAAAATTGGCCCCGCCCCGGGGTTCATTCATTTTCCTTATATGTGTATGACAAAAACTTACAAAATCTTTTTTGAAAAAACTCAAATAGCTAGAGTTTAGATATTAAGCGCCAAGCATCTTCTAGTGAGTGTCTACAAAGTTTGTTCAAATAAAAGCCCTGGGGTCAAAATTGGCCCCGTCCCAGGGGACATTGATTTTCCTTATATGTGTATAGCAAAAACTTAAAAATCTTCTTTGAAAAACCCTGAATAGCTAGAGTTCAGATATTAAGCATGAAAAATTGTCTAGTAAGTGTCTACAAAGATTGTTCAAATAAAAGCCCTTGGGTCAAAACTGGCCCTGCCCCAGGTGTGTCATTGTTTTTAACTATATGTGTAAAGAAAACAACTTCTATTAAAAAACCCAACAAGCTAGATCTTAGATGTTTAGCATGAAACATCTTCTAATGGGTGTCAACCAAGTTTGTTCAAATAAAAGCCCTGGGGTTTAAACTGGCCCTGCTCCGGGGGCCTATATACAGGTGAGCGACTTTAGGACCATCATGGCCCTCTTGTTTTAAAACACTCTTTTTTTTTTGTAAACAAACATCTGACGAGAATATGTGACATAAACAGAAGCAATGTTAACTCTAGGACATAGACAAATTTAGGGCCCTTATGACAATACTTTGATACCATCTTTGAAATTCGGTAATTGTATATGACTTGATTATGATTGTCTTGTTTGGTTTATATTTTAGGTGTATTGCTGAGCTTGATAGTTTTGGCAGTAGGATTCCAGTTGGCAGCCTTCCATTCCCCACCCATTGCTCAGTCAGAAGAGGGCGATAACTCTTGCCATGGCTACCAGTAATTTAACATTTCTGTATTATTCTGAAAACCTTTTGATCCTTGCTATCCTTAATATCTTAAATTTATACATAAGTGAAGTGTGACAAGTTCAGTGAAATTTTAGCAGCTAACAGCCACATACTTGGAGACTTCCCCAGCTCTATACATTTAGTCATGGGGTAGTTTTAATCACTGCTATTATTCCTATAGTCAGATGTGATATATTTACATCATATAGAATGGTTTTGTTTTATTTCCAGCTATTGTGAAGAGTGTATAGAGAATGTAGATTGTGGATTTTGCTACAATGACTATGGTCAGGGCGTAGTTAATGGATCATGTCTACCCAAAGATGGAGATGATTCAAGTCATTCTAAAGGTAACAATTTCAAAGAGATGAAAGGTTTAGAAAATTGAAAATTTATTGATCATCTAGGCTGGGTATTAAGATCCTTTGTGAAAACAGATCACAAAGTATGTGATTGAAAAATTGGCGACTATAAGGTCAATTTGACATGTTACACGCGACATGCGAACAGTCTCACTTTTCACAACTTTTATTCAGCGGTCAATTTGAGTTTTTTTTTTTTTTTAATGTACATTGGAAAAATTCACTCTTTTTAGCAAATTCAAAATACTTGTACATGTATTGTCATTTGCAGAATTGGCCAACTGCAGTGGCTACACTGCACTAGTGAGCATTTTGTTACTCTTATTGCAGAACTGTTATAGCTGTTGATTAATCAAATAGAATATCACTATGTTGGATATCATTGTAAATAAGAGAATGTGTTTAAATTATTATACAGTGGGACGGTGTAATGCTACAACAGGGGAAGAACCGGATCTGATATATGCATACCAGTACTGTCCGACAGATTACTCATGGATGGGAATTGCTGGCCTCGCAATCTACCTCATGTTTTTTGCACCAGGTAAATAGATTTGGTATTTATGATGCATTTTAGGTTGTCTGATAAATATTAGACATTTATCTAAATATCGAAATTAACCAGTAGCCATTTGGTGGGAACTGAGTATATCCATGCCATCAGTGCACACCAAGATCTGTAAGGAAGGTTTCAAGATAACTGTTGACTAAATAACAAACAGTGCAGACTGTGAAAAGACAACAAAAGGATGTGGCATCACCACGCTTTCTGATCATTATCTGCACTGTTCACTATTCAGTCAATATGACTGTTGGCTATTCAATAAATATGATGAATAGTTCCATCCAAATTAAAGACGGGCAAGTCCATTTTAGATATTTAGACTGGTAAGGGTTAAGAATTGATAGTCTGGTTGATTCTATTATGTAAAATATATTTGTGAACTGCAATATTTTGTCAGTTTTTAACATTTTATATTTTTTATCTTGGGAGATCTTTGGCTGAGTGGTTAAGGTCGTTGACTTCAAACCACTTGCCCCTCACCATGTAAGGTTTAAATCCAAACAAGGACTTTGGATTCTTTCTTGTGAGGAAGCTATCCAGCTAGCTTGCAGAACATCATTTGTTCTACTCAGGTGCCCATTTGTGCCTGAAATAATGCATAGAATGCCATCTGAGGTCTTCCTCCACCAGTAAAGCTAAACATCACCATATGACTTTTACTGTGTTGGTGCAACATAAAACCCAACACCCAAACAAATATTTCCTATTTTCATTCAACACATTTATTGCTCTTTTTTTGTTAAGCTTATTCAAAATTTATTTTAGTTTGCTTGTAGTTGTATAGTAAGCTATTAGCTTAAGGCACACTCTCCTATTAGTTTATGAAAGCAACCATTGCTATGCAGTAAGTTTTAAGTTGTTTGCTCAAGGAAACAACGACTTGTCCTTGACAAGGTTTAAACCTTTGATTACTAGCCTGACACGTTGACCACTTGATAATGTAGCCACTATCTGAAATATTGAAGTCACAACTGTCTTTCCTTTATTCTCCGCAATATCTTAAAGTAGAAACAGATATTTTTTTTCTTATAATGTTAAAATAATGGTTTTAGAGAATGTTAGATACTTGTTACCTGAGGAAAGTGATAAATATAAAATTATTTCTGGAAACATTTAAATGATAATTATCTACTTCACAAAGTTTTTAAAAACTTTGTGAAGTAGATAAATATAAAATGATTTGGCATAAAGGTAGGAAAATGTGAACAAAGTAGTATTTTGAGTTCCATACAAAATACTAATTCACCATAACTGTACTTATTTCCCAAAAGACACAGATGAAATTTAAGATGGTTCAGGTAATTGGCCAATGAGTAATTTTTTGGATACTATAAAAGTGCACCAAACTTAAAAAGCTTTTGAAAATTAAAAAAAAAACATTTCTGAGGAATAATAGGCCTTTAAAGTTATGTAATAAATTGCTCAGTTTATTTAATACATATATAGTATGGAGTGTGTTATAAATTACTTTATGTTATCAGGTATGGGACCTATGCCATGGACTATCAACTCAGAGATTTACCCTCTGTGGGCAAGAAGTACATGTAACTCATTAGCTACGGCAACTAACTGGCTATCTAATCTAGTTGTCTCAATGACATTCCTCACTCTTACAGAAACCATCACTAAATATGGTAAGTAGAAGTTTGATTTGAAGATTCTTATGCTTCTGAAACCTTTAAATAGAGAAGCGGGTATCCTTTGTATCCTTTCTTCTGTCTTTTCTTCCAACCTTCTGTCCTTTCTTTCAACTGTCTGTTCTATTTTCCATCTGTCTGTCCTTCCTTATTTGCTTTCTCTGGTCCTTCCATTTGTCAATCTGTCCTTTCTTCCATACTGTCTCCTACTGTCCTTTCTTTAAACCTTCTGTCAAAATTTCCAGCAATTTGTCCTTCTTTCCATCCTTCTGTCAGTAGTCCTTATGTGCTTTCTTTGGTCATGCCATCTGCCAATCTGTCCTTTCTTTCTTACTGTTTCCTACTGTCCTTTCTTCTGACCTTCTTTCCATCTTTTCAACCTTCCTTCCATCCTTGTTCTTTTTACCATCTTCTGACCTTTCCTACATCCTTCTGTCATTTCCAACAGCCTTCTGTCCTATATTCTGGCCTTCAGTCTTTTCTACTGTCCTTTAGCACTTACTTACCTTTTCACATAGCACCTTCATTTATTGACTGTTAATATTTTCTGTGGTTGTACCTATCATGCTTCTCTATGATGGACTTTGGTTTTAGTTTGAATGAATCATGGTCAAGGTCAGCAAGGCTAAACATAAATTTCCCTAGTTTTCTTCCAAGCATGTTTGTAGAAAATCAGAATGCATCGTTAATTGTTAATGACTGGTACATGTATTTTTTTTATTTCAAAATCAATTCTAAATATAGTTGGTACAGGACAAAACTAGAAGTTGAAAGTTTTTGATACCAGTTTAGTAGTTTTACTTTACATTTAATGTTCTCATTCAGACTGGTTTTGACCTTTATTTACTGTGAAAATAAGTTTCACTAAGATTTTAAGAATGGAATTTTGGGTTGAAATATTTTTGACTTTCTAGTGGTATCTTTTTGCAAAGGAATTTTTGGCTACTCTGTTATACATTGTATTTTTACATATTAAGAAAAAAATTCTGTTGTTTTTTTTGCAGGTACATACTGGTTGTTTGTGGGAATTGTGGTAATTGCATTAGTTTTTATGGGAATTACATTACCTGAAACCAGTGGGACAAAATTAGAGGAAGTTGAACTGTTGTTTTCTCAACCTCTGTGCAGTTGTTCGAAACCCCCACCCACACATCACGAGGAGCACACGAAATATGTGGAATAGATACGAGATTATCTCTTCTCTGTGTAAATCATGTGGAAAAAATTATGTGATAAACTTTACATAGCAAAATATGACAGTGTTACGATGAATTTTATGAAATATTTGGGATAACGTCAATCAAATTAAACCCAGTTACAAAATTATGCTATGCATTAGGATCTGACAGTCACCAATAGAAGGTCACCTTCTCGTGACCTTTCAATCAAGGAATTTGTGGACACAATGGTGTTCATGAAAATGGATCAGTTTCTATTTTTTAAACCCAGAAACCAAGAAAGGTGTATGTGATTTTCAAGATTTCATATATTACCTGTGAACAAAAAAGGTGGAACCTGAATCAATGCTTCCATACCAAAAATGATAGAATTGAACGTCCCACATAAAATATATTTAAAATAATCTTTGTATTAAATTAAAACATACTTGTCTGACTTCAATGAGATTTTTGTAAATTTCTTCTCTGTAACGGATGATTTGATTGGTTGGCTTAATTTATTAGAAATTTTAAATTGATTAGAAGACCAATGAGTCTGTTACTGATGAGCAGATTTACATGTAAACATAACAAGATCTGAACCGTGGTCAGACTGGAATAATGTGCTCTTTGTTGTGTAGTTTAAAGGTCGATTATTCCCAAGGAATGCTTTACTTTTTATTACTCGAAAGCTTTTTTTATTTTTGGTGACCTGTTTTATATTCCAAAAGGTTACTCATTGGCTAAATTGCCTTTTGACAATTAGTGATAATGATTGAGTATTTTGTATGGAAGTCAAAATACTACTTTGTTTACAACAGATAATTTTAGATTACACACTACTTTCTACAGGTGATAAGCATCTAGCTTGCTATAAAATCATTATTTAATTGCTTAAAACTTATAAGCTCTTTCTGAAGAAGGGGAAAATTAGGGATTTCTGAGGCATAATGTGCCTTTAATGGAGCTTATACATGTATGTTTGAAATATCTAAATATCAAGACAGTGGAAACATCTGAAGAGAATTGTTAGTTACATATTTATATACAAATGTTATTTTTGTCTTTTTGTTTAGGAATAATTCTGTTGTATTGATTTGATGAAGAAAACTGTGATAGATTTACGCACTTTTTGTTTCATACACAGTTTATTACTGAAATAGGAGAACTAGTGTCTTAATATGAATTTATCTTTTTAGTACTGAGCAATGAGTGTAAAGTTTCTTGCCCAAAGAAACAAAGACTTGGCACCTAACGGGGTTTGAACCCATGTGGCAAGTGATCATTAGATTACTAGTCTGATGCCTTAACCACCCTGTCATGCCACCACCATTTAGTGTTGCCTTTGATGGATTTGTGACTTAATATTAAATTATTTTTTTTTTAGAAAAATTTGTTGTCTGCCGACAACGAAAACGGCAAACTAAAATGAATGACGTGTACATTTGTACACTGTACTTAAGGGATTGGTCATTGTCAATGACATTTCATGTGATTTACATTACTTTTTTATAACTTATGTATCTACTAGTCAGATATGGGGGAAAGTGCAAAATAGTCTGGAAAAAATTTATATAAGGTGTAGCAATAGTTAAAATATAAAATTGGTAGACATGGTTGAACCAGAGAACTCTTTCTCAATGTCCGGTGTTTCTCCCTTTATGTTTGTGCCTTAACCTACTCAATTTGTTTAACAGTCTTGCTCAGCTTTTCAACATTCTATTTTAATGGATGTTACAATCAAAATACAAATATTGAGCTACAGTACCAACAGTATAGAGCCTGGTCTGACTACACAGATATGCAATCTGGCCTGGTTTATACTGGTGGCAAAGGCTGATCACTTTTGGTTTTAGCAGGTGAAGTGCATTTTTAGATGGTATTGAGTGTTGGCATAGCTATGCTTGTGTACCAAGTACAATGTACATATATAATGCTAAGAATTAATATTTGCATTATATTGAGGGATATCTGTTTAAATGTACATGTGGTATTTGTATGGGAAACAATATTTCGAAAGTTTATTCTGAAAAAAAAAATGTTTTTGGCCAGTGATTATGTGCAAATTCTACCCCTCCGAAGTTCATGTATAATTGAAATAAACATCTTATTTTCCTATTATTGTTAGTGATTGAATTAGAAAAAGTATGATAGAAATAACAAAGTTAATCCATGGTTATGAATATCAATTGCACTTCTAAATATTTACATCTTTTTAAACTGTACTGGCAATTTATATACATGTATATCTAAAATTGATTCTTTTTAAATTGTTGTGCATACATGTACATTCATGACCTTAATTTGAAATTAATGATACAAGTTGAATGTTTTTTTGATCGCCTTTATTTTATTTATGAACATGTAAATGTGCAGGTTGTAACAGTAAGGGAAATGAACACATTTATAATAATAAATATTATATTTATTCAGATTTACATTCATGTATTTTTTCATGCCTGTTTTAAACATCTTGTTTGTAAAAATAAAGTTTATTTTAATAAAAAAAATACACTATAAAACGTCTGTTTTTGTGTTATTTATGTGTTTTGTTTTTGTAGACCAAAACATTTCTCAAGTATTTTATCATCATTATCTTGTATACATTATATGTCCGCCTGCTTACCTTTATAGGGAGAGCATTTAGTGGAGTGGTGGCCTAGTGGTTAAGGTGTCTGCCTCTTAACCCAGAGATCATGGGTCCAAGTCCTAATCGAATCACGACCATATTTCTTCATAAGACACCAGTTGCTGATCGGTTCCAGGAAGCGGAGTCGAAAGTGATTTATATGAGTTGAAAAAAAATTGTTTCGCAATCGAGCTTAAATAAATATGTTTAAACCAGGAAGAGCATATGTTTGTTGGTGGATGGGTCACAAAGAAATGTTCTAATGACATACTCAGATCTCGGGACGTATTTGTCAGAAAACCGGCACAATACGAGCAAAAGACCAATTAAAAGTCCGAGATCCAAGAGAAATCTCAGCCAAAAGTTTTTATAACCTTGAGTTCAGGCTACAAGGTTATAATACTTTTTTCTGACTTCAGTCTCAAATCTCAGGATTTTTATTGGTCAGTGTGCATTCTGAGATTCTAAGATAAAAAGATTAATAACCTTGAGGCCAGGAGTCGCTGGTTCGATCATCGAGCGAGGCAAAATGTCTCGTCCCAAGGTCATTTGTCTCTCGCCGATGGCACGGATCTTAATATAAATCCGTGCCATTGGTTAAGAAATCATGTGTGATATTTAGTAAATAGCCAATCACTTGCGGAAAAAATGGTTATTAATGGTAAGTAATCCAGGAAAGCCAGTTTGGTGGACTGACCGCCGAAACATGACAGAAATATGTTAAATTTGGTATAAAATCAGATTAACAATGACGTATCAGAATAATTAATTCACCTGCATTATAAAGCTGATCCAAACATATATTATTCATTAGGCTGTAAGTACTTGGATATAAGCAGATTTTCTTGTTATTGAGACTCTATATAAGATATATGTAAATTGTCATTTGGAGCAAGTTTAAAATCAAAGCTTTAGTGGCCATTTTTAAAGATGAAACCTGATACCTGTATGTTGAGAGTAAGACTCTCAAACTATTTTTAATAAAACGCAGTGGCGGGAATGCCTTTCCTGTTATATACCAGTTGAAAGTCAGGCATTTGATTAGTAAGAAATGTAGGGAATGTATGCTGACCAATGAAAAACATCAAATTCAGGAATGTGCTTAAAACACGTTTTAAAGCCAGGTTAGATTTATTACTTACACATGTAGTTTCAACTGCTTACATTTACCTTTTTTTGAAATGGGAACCCACGCAGTTCTAAAAATAACAGACGACAAATTCCAAGTTCAAGGCAGGGGTAAATCCATCATACAAATATAGCAATGTATAGGATTAACAACTAAAATACTCGGGGGAAAATCTCATTTAATAAGACTCTTAGTTCTTTTTTACAATGAAGTATTTAATATGGTTAAATTATTAGAAGATTCCGTTTATTTTCCGACATTGCACTGAACGCTACCCTGGGAGCACGTGCATGAACCACGCCCACTGATTGAGAACGCTGACCCGTGCTGGTATACTCTGAAAAAAGATAGATGTTGGTAATAAAATTGTTATTTCAAACAAAATGAAAACTAGCGGGAATTTGATACTCAGACATTAAAGTTGTGTTGTTTTAATGGTTTTAAAGCAGTAAGTCATCAGTAGAAGAAGACAAAGTTTTCATTTGTACTTCTAAGATGACTATTCCATTCTCATTAACGTTGGGGGGTATATACTGATTAACATGTAAATATTTTGGGATAAAACAGTTTATACAGTTTAGTATAAGTCAACAAACAAAATATTTTTTAAGACTTAAACTAATGTATGTATATTTGTGACTAATACATTAACTTAAGTGTTTATTAATAATATATTAATTTTGTTCTCGAAGGAAAGCAAAACAAGCACTTACAAGCCGTCAACAAAACAGTTGTGTCCTGTGAACGAGCAGATAGCAGCCCCATCATCGCACGTGCACTGTAACCCGTGCACTGTAAAATCCTGTCCGTGTGTGTAGGTACTGGAAATGAACATACATCAAGAGGAATGTAACTTTATATATCTTCATGCCATGTTACTATGTTAAAAGCCATATTTTAATGTTTGCAACGTTTTGATATCACAGGGATACCGATCGAAATGGCCAGTATACTTTTGGCACTATATCAACAAACAACAATTTTACCCGTGTCATGTTAAATATCTTTATTGTATCATAGTTTGGAGACTTGACTATTGAAAATGTATCAGTGTTAAAATTCTATGCCTATAAATGCAAAGTGCGTTAACTGGAGTGCAATTATTTGTTACCACTCGCCCCTTCGTACAAATCAGATAGCCTCGTGTTTCGATGCTCTTTCTATTACATAGACTTGTCCATTTCTTCAAGCTAAACACAATTATTCATTACTTTTTATGAAAATTTCAAAAAAAGTATGTACTGACTGAAAATGGAACAGTGCGAATCATGATCAAACGCTATGAATGTGCCCCGTTAATTTTGGTCGGCACTGGTCGCATATTGTCAGCAGGCTAAGTATCTAATAACGAGAAGCAGTCGATCCATCCCTGGTACATTAATGGCAATTTCAATCCCCCCGTCCGATGCGGGTTCTTTCAAATAGACATTTCGCCCATGCTTATTTATAAAGGCCTTTGATGCTGGCAAAAAGGGAGGTCAAATTATCACTACTATTACAGTGTATTGTTATTATTATTATTATTATTATTATTTTTATTATCATTATTACTATAGGAATTGTTTGCTTATATACATGTATATATACCTACACCCCAAAAGTTACACAGTCCAATGCTTGTCCTGAAAAAAGTATATAAGGTATTCTGTTTATTTTTGTTATACATGTATATCGTATCAAACGAAATTTAACGCATTTTGAGTAATAAAAAACGCTGTTAAGCACAGACGTTGAATTTTGACATTTCAAAGGAAAACATAAATTCCTGTAATCTACTAATTCACACGTCTTTTACATATTCTTGGAAATCGAGCATGAATCGGACTATTTCTGGCATAGTTCGCTACTTTTCATAACTTAAAAAGATCGAAATATCAAGATCAGCAACATAAAATCTTGCTAGGCAACTGCTCCCTTCACGCAAATACACAAAATCAAAAGACGAACACTCGATAATTATGATTGAACATAAATTTATATGTTGATAAAACTGGTTACCATTTGGGATATGATGAGCTTGTTTTGTTGCATGCGCACTTGCACATTGGTCTGCTGGTGATATTGACAAATAAAAACTGTCCACCCACGCGATCTGAAAAAAATCAAGCAATAAAGTCAAGTGTTGCTGTTGGTTTGAAGAAAAATATTGTTACCCCTACCCTCCCCTGCCTGCCCCCCCCCCCCTGACACACACACACACACACACATATACCACAAACATGGTCGGATCAGATCTCATGCGGGAAATATATGAATAAATGTACACGTGGTAAGACGCTTCATTAAGGGTTGGATTGACCTCTGCGGCGAGTGGTAAAATTGCTGGTTTTGCATCATTTGGCTCGCACCACAGTGTTCGAAACCCGCCATGAACTACCTGACCACCTTACGATTTCTTCTCATTTGGACACTGCTTCTATAGGTTTTTTATTTTTCAGATTTTTACCGTAAAAAGGTACTGTAAAACAGTACACAGATTTTAGTCACATGGTACACTTTTTGGGGAAATTCACATTTCAAAAGAAAGTGAGGGGTATTAAAAAACAACAGTATCGATATGACATAAAATCTAAACCAAAAAATAAATATGAATCGGACTTTCGTGACAAATTATTGTAAAGTGGGTATACATGAGTTTTTATTTTCAAACTACATGTATATGACCCATTATTAACATGGCATTACTCTTTCCCTACTTGTGCCGAAAGTGCTTTTTCCTAGCAAGCAGCGTAGAGACAGGCCAGGCTATACATCCGTGCAGTCTGACCAGGCTCAGCTCTAGGCTACCGATAGCTTAATTTTGGTATTTTGCTATTTACATCAGCAGCATGCCTTCAAATTCATGCTATATTTTATGATTTTTTTTAAATGTACTCAAAAGTAAAAAACACCATGTATTGTAAAGTAAACAGTAAAGTAAACAAAGAAAATAATTTACAATTTGCAAACTGCACTTGCAATCCACATAAATTAACAGCACTTGCAATCCACATAAATTACCACAAAAAAGGGTAAAAATAAGCAAAGTAGGAAATACAAAGTACTATAAAGACTACAAAATCGATCTTAATCGCACATAGCATCTTAATTATAACTTGATTTATTTTACTTTCTTAAAATCTTTGTACTCGCTCATTTTTTAATTTTGCTTGTAATATTTTGGATCATTTTGAGGCATGCAGCTTTAAACTTTGCCAAATTCTGTTCCAAATTCAAAGCAAGGCAGTTCCAATACAAAAATTCAGCAGCTTAAGAGTCAGTAGTTCACTGTACAGTATAGTTAGTTTCTTGATTTACTAATAAAAGCATACCTGTCCATTACTGTCGTCTTTCAGTTCATAATATGTGTCACCGTTACTATGGTAAATTCCACCACTTGACGTGAAGCACGCGCCATTTGCCAAAGTTCCTATAGTGGAGGCCAAATTCGCCGCTAGAATGATTATATTTCATTGTAAATTATTAAAATGAATAAATTAAGAAATACATAAAATATGTACAAAAAATACGTCTGATAATGAATCAATATGTAAGCAAATAATGCAATTATAAATAAGCATTATAAAACCCAGCCGTTGCCTAAAATGTCTAATTATGATTCATACGACGTTGAGATCATTTTCTTCATCTAAATTTCAGCTCGTACCGTTTGCGTAGTAAGAAAGGGTCATACATCAGTCACTTGTAGCCTCCGCCCATCCCAAGGAAAACGGACCCCTCCCCTCCTTCCGTCAAAGACCACACTCCTTTCGCACTTTCGGCTGTACACGCCGACATATAAAACCAAGGCATTAACGCTGCAATGCGAGGACAGACAGAGTCATATATATAGTGGCCTTTTTACCCTCGCTATATCACGAACTGTCAGGACGGAGCTGAAATTTTCTGGCGCCTTATTCGGAGTCTTTTTCCCTCGTAAACATTTGTGTTGACTTTAAAATTATTTTCCTTCTGATGTAAAGTAGTGGCTGTAATTTGCGAGTACATATTAATACTGCTATAGACTCAAGACCTTCCAGTAACTAAAATTTGTATATGGCTGAAGTTTTTATAAACCGGTGCTAAAAAACAACATCTAAAGAAACTATTTACTTATTCCTACATTCCTTATGTTTAGTTTAGCTTTTCCTAAAAGATACCATGATCTATCAAACAGTCAATAGCTCCAATTGGTTTTGTGATTAAAACACAGTCAAATTATATAGATTATTTATAATGAAGCATTATTTAATATTATTCATACTTATGGAAAGCCATAATTGTCAAATCAATTGTGTAATATCATGAAACGTAACAACGTAATACAATATGCAACATTTCAATGAGTACGTATCTTACTAATACAATTGTTTGTACTCACGATCTTTCACGGCGACCACGTTCGGTTCGTTGACACACAAACAGACACCCTGGTTCAGTGACAGGGTAATTTTCCCACACTCTGTCACCAACAAAATTGCGGAGAATACAAAAATGCTGAACATAATGAAAGTATTTTGTAAATGGTACTAACTGACCCTTTTTATGTCGTCTCAATTATCAAAGATAAGAAACCATAGGTCAGTGATAATATGTAAACCGTCCTAATCTGTTGATGTACATTTATATACAGTTAATTGATATAAACAATTGTTTGTGAACAAATAAACATGTGCTTTATTTAATTATATGAATGTGCTTTATTTAATTATATGAATGAAATATAGCATATACGAGTATGCTATGCCTACATTCGGAAAGCATCAGATATTCCTGTAATCATTTTTTTGTGACGCGTAGAAGACGATGTGATCACATTGACTAACATAGACAGGGTTCGGCAGCTAACTATGGTCTAAGTAGTTTGCAAGACAACGCGAATACTTTTAATGGTTAGACTTTAGTGACGTCACGAATTTACTCTATTAGAGCACCACCATAGGAATGGTCTCTCTGACGCCAAAGTGTTTGCGGTCACCGAAAGAACATGCTCGGCGCATAGACTTGAGCCAAACAATTTTCAACGCCAAAACCCTGCCCTAGTCAACGAAATCTTGACATGCGCAGTGCATCGGCTATAGCCAAACCCGAACCCTGACTTAAATATTGATAAATATTGTCTTCGACTTTCTACCACGGAACCAGACATTGTTGCAATTATATCTCACCCTCGTTAATCGATATCTGATGAAGGCCTTTATCTTTATTTTCTCGTTAGCTTTTTATTTTTGGTGTCCAAAACGTTACTTATTGACCAATTACCTGAACGTATGTATTTTTTCTTTCTTTTTTTCAATTAGTAAGTTACAGTGAGTTAATATTTTGTATGAAAGTCAAAATACTACTTTGTATACATTTTGATACGTTATTATAAACAACTGCACATTAAACGCTTATGTCTTCAGATAATAAATATCCAACATGCTCTTAAACTATCAAACTCATGTTGACCCTTTCTATAAAAGGAAAAATGTATTCTTTTCTTAGGAATAATGTGCCACGCTGTAACTATTTAACAATCACGCCAGCAATAGCGCTGAAAATATTTAACAAACTTAACCAGTCACAACGCTCACCTGAGCAAACTAAACAATTAAGTGAGCTATTTTGAACAATCCTAGCCAGCAAAAATGCTTTATCTAGCCAACTAAGCCAGCAATAAACTTAAATTAAAGTGCTCTTTTTAGCAAATTAAGTCAGTAATTATAGTAATCTATTAAACGAACGGTCAGCAAAAGCAGACCAGCAACAATTCTGTATTTAGCAATCTAACCAGCAAAAGTGATTTTTGGAGCAAACTAAATCAGCAAAAATGCTCTTTTGAGCAAATAAAATCAGGAAAAGTGTTTTCTTGAGTAAACTAAAATAGCATAATGCTCTATTGGGCAAACTTAATCAACAAAAGAGCTTTCTTGAGGAAACTAAATCAGCAAAAGTGCTCTTTTTAACAAACTAAGTCAGCAAAGGTTCCCTATTGAGCAAACTAAGCCAGCAAAAGTGCATTTTTTTTTAGCAAAGTAAGACAGCAAATGTGCTCTTTTGAGCCAACTAAATCAGCAACAGTGCTCTTTTGAGCTAACTAAGCCAGTCCAAGTGCTTTTTAGCAAAACTAAATCAGCAAATGTTCTTTATTGTGCAATCTAAGTCAGCAAAAGTGCTCTATTGAGCAAACTTAATTATTGACCCATTTGTATCTCCGCATTCTTTGTCTTTCAGTTCATTTCGGTAAATCCGAGAGCTTTCCGCGTAACGCTCGCGGCTTTGTGAATGAGCAAATTTTCCCGCGCTTTATAAGGGAAACCTGAACCCTGGCCTATTTCAAACAAGAGTTGTCCGTAAGGCAACGCGCTCGACTATTCCGGGTGCAAGGCAGTAAGAAAAGAGGGATAAATTTGTAAAAAGGGACCGGTGACCCTCATGTCTAGATAATAATGGATAAAAAGTGTGGTGAAGTTTCAGCTCAGTGGTTTTGGAGAGCTAGCATGCAAAACTTTAACCAAAGTGTGACGCCGACACCGACGCCGAGGTGAGTACAACAGCTCTCCCTATTCTTCTTGATTTGATGCTAAAACATTTGTGGGGGAAATGATTAACAAAGTCATGATGAAAATACGTGTGCCTTTATTGATTTTCAAACAAATTAACGCTAACAAATAAATCACAACTATCTGAGTACCCGAGTTTTGATGATAAAAAATTGTTACAAATAATACAAAAAAAAGGATTTCTGTATCTCCATTTTTTCAATGTTTTCAACAATAACAAAATATCTCCATTTTTTTCAATGTTTTCAACAATAACAAAATCTAAGTATTGATGATTCAAGACTTGGCGTTCATACTTAAAATAAAATACAACACAAAATGAACGGACACTTAAGAATCCCTGAAATGCAAACAACATCAACAAATCTAAAATCGTTCAAGTAAGCATCGTTGTAAAATAATACATATACAATAAAAATATTTCTATGAAATGTACTGTTTTAGATTGAATTGTTAAAAAAGCAATGACTGAAGTTTAACCTTCTGCATGTTCAGTAGACTAGAAACTAAGTGGATTTATCCTAACGTTAAATATTCTCCTTGCTTATTCCTAAACCAATTACAAGAATTCTAAAATAAATTAAATATTGTTAAAATTCCTAAAATGTTCGATCGTCGTAAGTGGGTGATATATATATATATATAGCATTTATTCCATTTAATCTGTCGCGCTGCTGCTCTTCATAGCACCCATTAATTTCATTAAAGCCGCATGCTTTCGCAGTAAGGGCTATTCTTTTTGCCTATTTTAAGATCTTATTTTTTGTAACGTGCGCCATGTGGAATCTTAGTTCACTTTACAATATGTTAAATTTGGTCCAATGGAATATTAAAATAAACTTATCAAACTCAAACTTATGTTACTTTTACAATTTCATAAAAAAACAAGAATCTGTAGGAATGCACCTTTAATTCTGACACTAATAAACAAATACAAGTACTTCAAATTTTAGTGCGTAGATCATACATACAACCTTTTTTACTCTTTTACAATGCTATTTATGTTTTATTTTACTTTTGAAACTAATTTCCCTCGTAAATATATACATCAACAACAAATATACGTAACACATCAACAAATAAATCCCTAACTTAAATAATGAAACTTTTGCAAGAAAAATGCATTGTATTACAATAATAAATGAGCCGTGTCACGACAAAACCAACATAGTGGGTTTGCGACCAGCATGGATCCAGACCAGCCTGCGCATCCGCGCAGTCTGATCAGGATCCATGCTGTTCGCTAACAGTTTCTTTACTTGTTATAGGGTCTGTAAGCGAACAGCATGGATCCTGATCAGACTGCGCGGATGCGCAAGCTGGTCTGGATCCATGCTGGTCGCAAATCCATTATGTTGGTGTTGTAGTGACACGGCTCAAATTAACCTTAAACTGAAGGTTCTACCCCTCGTAACTGAGGATTTCAGCAAAGCTGAAAACTTGACAATATAAACTTGAAATATTCAAGACAACAAAATGTCCGTCTACTCTTATAATTTTGGATTATTGACTTCAAATTTACTTATGACGCTCGGATATTATTTCATATCGTTAACGTCATCTTATCTTAGATGACACTTTTATCATTTTTTATGCCAGATACTTGAAAGATTTTTAGATTCATCTATCTAAACATAGTTTTTCGCAATGTCCGTGAGCTATAATAAAGAGGTAAAAATCATAGACCATCAATTATTGAAACGATGCGGGTGCTTTTTCTTTAGAAATCTTACTGTCTTCAGAGAATCGTGTCCCTCTCTTGGGGGACTGGTAGCACTTTTTTCTAATTCAACATTTATTCTATCCAGTCATTTTCAGATAAATCCTTATACAAATATCATGTTCGATGAGGTATCAGGGTTGTTGTCTCAACAGTATGGAATAGTTGAGTCTTTTATATTTCGAGAAAATTAAACACTAAGAGTTACATACCAGCTTTTGCATTCTTTCAACTTGGTCTGATAAAATTTGGAGTTTGCATTTTATGTCAGAATTATTAAGTTCATTTCCACATTTATCGTGTGTCAAATCTAGTGGGTCATTAGAAATATCAGATTTTCCATAACTTGACATTTGACCCTCCGTTGACAAATTATTGTTTCGTCTGTCGATAATTTTTTTGTCGTCTGCTTCATATTTCAAAGCACTACTTTCTGTGGAGTAATTTCTTTTCATAGATAAGTTTGCCGGTATCGTATTATCATTAAACATAGTCCTTTTTCTTTTATTCCCGTAGAAGGATCCATTCTTATCACCGCTTTCTTTGTCATTCAGTTCATTTCGGTAAATCCTAGAGCTTTCCGCATAACGCTCGAGGCTTTGTGAATGAGCAGGAGTTACTGCCCATACAATTGCGTCTTCCATAGGTGTATAGGCGGATTCCGCTAGACTTTCAGCGCGTGAGTTATCGTTCATCGAGTTACTGGAACAGTCGCTATAGTCCGAGGTATCAAAATTTGAGGTATCCCGTTGATTGTTTGAACTTTCAAGAAAACTGAGCGTTCGTTTGCATTGGTGAAGGCATTCTTCGCGGTCAGATGAACTAAGAATGCTTGCATTTTTTGGTATGTTGAATCTTTCCTTCAACAGATCCAGTTCCCTTTTCAAAAGGCAATTTTCTTCCTCAAGGGCAACAACTCTAGCTCTAACCATACATTCGTACTGACGTTTATTCTCGCGAGACTTCTTGGCGGCCAAGTTGTTGCGCTGCCTCTTCTGCCAGTAGCTGTTGTCTTTCTGAGTATCGGGTACAAGTTGTTTTGTATGGAAGCGTCGTAGTGCCAAACCTGAAATATTTTTATCTCTTAATTAGTAGATACTAAGTCATAATTAGTAGATAGTAAGTACTAATTATTAGATAGTACGTGCTAATTAGTAGATAGTAAGTTATAATTAGTCGATACTAAGTCATAATTAGTAGATAGTAAGTACTAATTAGTAGATAGTAAGTGCTAATTAGTAGATAGTAAGTTATAATTAGTAGATACTAAGTCATAATTAGTTGATAGTAAGTAATAATTATTAGATAGTTAGTACTAATAAGTAAATGCTAAGTCATAATAACTTCAAAACTGTTGTCAGATTGACTATATTCCTCGGCATCAGCCATGTTAACAGAATGCAAGCAGCGATTACAATATTATAACTTAGTATGTACTAATTAGTACTTACTATCTACTAATTATGACTTATTATGTTCTAATTAGTACTTACTATCTACTAATTATGACTTATTATCTACTAATTAGTACTTACTATATACTAATTATGACATAGTATCTATTAATTAGTACTTACTATCTACTAATTATGACTTATTATGTTCTAATTAGTACTTACTATCTACTAATTATGACTTATTATCTACTAATTAGTACTTACTATATACTAATTATGACATAGTATCTATTAATTAGTACTTACTATCTACTAATTATGACTTATTATCTACTAATTAGTACTTACTATATACTAATTATGACATAGTATCTATTAATTAGTACTTACTATCTACTAATTATGACTTAGTATCTACTAATTAGCACTTACTATCTAATAATTAGCACTTACTATCTACTAATTATGACTTAGTAACTACTAATTAGTACTTACTATATACTAATTATGACTTAGTATATACTAATTAGCACTTACTATCTCCTAATTAGTATTTACTGTCTACTAATTATGACTTAGCATCTACTAATTAGCACTTACTATCTACTAATTAGCACTTACTTTCTACTAATTATGACATAAAAACATTTCAGGTTTGGCACTAGGACGCTTCCATAGTTTTGCACGGCGCTGTTGTGATATTGGAATATGCGCAGATAGCACGTTTCTATTCATCGTGCGTCTAACTGAAAATAAAGTGAAAAAATCAGATGACTTTTATTCAAGTATTCAAGAATCCGACATTTTAAAAAAGCACAAAAACATATTAAATGTTTGTGGTTATTAGTAGATTCCTTTTTTTTAAGTACAAGCGAAAAAGTCAGAAGAAATACGATTATACAAGATGTCAGTTCATTCAGTCTAGGTGTTTTGTTTATTTATTTATTTTTTCTAAATAGAAATAGATTTTATTTATTTTGATAATATACATCTATACATCTACAATTTGTAATATATTAAGATAAAATCAATTTTAACGTTCTATTTAATATTTCCGAAGACACTTTGCTCCTCTTCACACAAATATTCACTTTCGTATTTTTTTAAAAAAAAAAATCGAACTTTTGTTGAAGACTCGGGCACACAAGCGGGAAGCAGCATATATCATACATACACACATATATATGGTACATATAAATAATACAGCGCATGCGCAGTGAGTGAGAAGTTGAATCATTTGATTAGATATATCAAAACTTATAAAACAATTTATATAATTATTCATCCTTCATGACATGGTGCTCCAAGCTAGATAACCTAAAACAAACAAAAAACAACAAATACGAAAACCAAATGAAATATCCCGTGGGTAAGTTAACTGGGTAACCAACGATGATGAAGTATGTTCGAACTAGACAGTTCTCCTGGACCAACCCATAATAATGATAATTTGCCGAATTCGTGTATTAAATTGACCGTGCTTTGATTTTGGAAAAGTTTGAAGTATCAGCCATTTTGATATTAAAATAAACAAATGAAGCTACCATCAGGACTGCATGGATATGTACACTGTTTAAGCTCTACAGTTTGGGCAAAGTCACCCATTGCTCCAGTAGGTTAAGGGTTAATCTGCTATGCTAAATCTTCACAAGTAAATCTACGGGGATACGGACAAAAGCCCCCCCCCCGGACGAAAGCCCCCCATCTAAAGATGACAAGGTGGACAAAAGCGCTCCCCCCATGAAATTAACACGTAAACAAAAGCCCCCAATCAAAAATACAGGTAGGAGACCCCCCCCCCCCCTTCCATCTAACAATCGATTTTGAGAATCTCGTCAGTCTAAATCCGGAACCAAATTGTCTTGAGACAAGTCAAAATCGGCATGTTTAATTGAACAAATAAATGCAGCAAAAAGACAATTTACATTAAGAGTTAAAAGGTAGAGAATTTGTGTACTTTGTATACTTATAATTCATTGATGATGTGAATGTTTCTTTGTTTATTATATATTGTACAGTACAAATGTAAATGAATATTTTCAGAGAATCACTTATCAACGCTTATCAAGGAAATAAAAGTAAAAGGCGCAGACTTGTTCAGATTTATTTGAAGTATAATCCAAGATCCCCCAACACTGGATAGTAATCAGTCTGGTCTATAAACCTGGGGCGGGGCTTTTGTTTTGGTTTTTGTCCTACCTTAATTTTTGATGGGGGTTGTCCTATGTGTAAATTTAATGGGGCTTTTGTCCACCGTGTCATTTTTCAATGGGGGGGAGGGCTTTGTACGGGGGGGGGGGGCATTTGTCCTACACTCAAATATACGTTCTCCACATTTATTACCGGTGGAGAACGAAAGACTTACGCTGTTTATACCAATAAACAAAAGAAATATAATATATAAATGTGCCTTTACTTAGCGAATAACAAAAAATTCATTTTGGCAGGTTAAACGGTCTTATTTCACTACATCTTTTTTTATCTTATTCGTAATCCAATAAGAATGTATTCTTAAGATAAAATAGATAAAGAATCATAAACAATGATTTAATTTTAATTTTCATCATATACATTTACATTTATGTCTATAAATGACCCGCTTCACGACAAAACCAACATAATGGGTTTGCGACAAGCATGGATCCAGACCAGCCTGCGCATCCGCGCAGTCTGATCAGGATCCATGCTGTTCGCTTACTGACCCTATAACAAGTAAATAAACTGATAGCGAACATCATGGATCCTGATCAGACTGCGCGAATGCGCAGGCTGGTCTGGATCCATGCTGGTCGCAAAACCCATTTTGTTGGTTTTGTAATGACACGGCTCATTTATTGAAATATATTCTGAAATGAAATGGTATATATCAATAAAATCTTACTTCAGGTAACGGTGTCTCAGGTATTCAATCCGGAATAATATAAAAAGGCATATGTTCTGGTATGAATGTACTTTAGTTATATAACCACATGCCTACTGAAGTTCACGGACAGTTATATAACTGACAGTGACCTAGTATGGTGGCAAATATGTGACAAAGTTTTCACAACTTATATAAATCGGGTGAAACACCTCGCGACGGTAACGTCACTCTTGAGCGACGGAGATAACCGGTTGTTAACCCATACATGCGTATATTATTTTACATACGTACATTAATTCGCATTAAATAATTTACGAGATTATTTGAGCTGTGATTTAAGTTATATACCGAAACGTGTGGTGAAATGACTTGAACCGCGAAGATAGTTTTAAAAAAGCCTTTTAAACCCTCAGTAATCAGTATTTTTTATTATGTAAATGAAAAAGATTATGTAAACAAAATATTGTTAAAACTGAAGTACTAAATCTTTGAACCGATGATGTAATACTAATAAAAAATAGAGAAACAACAAAAAATAAAATAAAGATATTTAATTTAAAGAGTATTTATGTTTAAGGTTCCCGGAACATTTAAAGTAAACGTGTCAAATTCAATCAAGTACATAATATTATTATTAATAAAAATAATAATAATAATAATAATAATAATAATAATAATAATAAAATAATAATGATAATAATACAACTATAGACATATAGATCTAAGATTGATATTAGGAAGTGACAAACGTAAAGTTATGAAAGAATGTTTAAATTATGAAGGAACTCTTTAAATAGAACTTGAAATTCGTAAACTTATATAACTTTTAAGTAAACTTACATGTATACAGACCTAATTTAATCAATAATCAATAAAATGTCACGCCGGCTTTTCTTACTGAATTTGACAGATGATACATATGTATAATAATAAAAACTATTTATAATTTACTACGCTTATTATATAAATGTATATATTATTAACTTATTATGTACCTATTATAAGGTAATGAAATATCTTATTCCAATTAGGACTTTCAAAAAAATAAATGTAGGTAAACTTACATGATTTAATCAATAGGCGGTACGTGACTTATTGAATATTATACACAATACTTGATATAGTTATAGTAAAAAAGTTCGTTTTGTGAAAATTAAAGTACGTGCGCACTAAACAGTTCTTATGAATATTTATTTTTTTCTATATTTCAAACTCCGAAATGATTTAGATTTGAACCAATATTGCAGACACGTAGTACTTAAAGATGCTCAATAGGCATTTTAGGACAATCAAGTTTCATATCTCGCAAAACGTGGTGCCCTAATAGTTAAACTGTGTATAAATTTGCGTCTTTGCAGCCATTTAAAAAATTGATATCATTTACGTTTAAGAAATGACCAAAGAAACATATTACACATTTACACATACATGTATATATATCGGTACATTTTTGGCCCTGCTCATGTATAGATATTTCTAGTTTATTTTCTACTCTGGATCTAGATCTAGTAGAAGCTGGGACAGAAAGTTACATTTTTAGTCCCAGGTATAAGCTAAATTGGTTTTACTGGCAAACCGACAAAAATATTTTGAAAAATATATACTGTATATTTACTTACATTGAATTGCACTCCTGTTAAAAAAAATCCTTATATAGATAAATCGAAATTATTTTTATTTTAGACCGACAAATACACACAACAACAGGCACGTTCTGTACTGATTAGTTATGGCAATGAACGCTCGCGGGCCTAGTATATATTACGTCATCAATAAATGTTATGTAACTCTTTTAAATCGGATATCTAATATTATCCCCCGGTGCGCCAGTGTTATATAAAGAATTACATAAGCGCATTTATTGCAATTGCGTAACACAAGTAAGACCAATAAGTAATAACATTGTAATGTAGCACGTAGTTGGGTAAAATGGCTGAAGAAGGAAAGGGCGATAACTGCGAATGTAAATAACTGTCAGAACTTCCACGTTATTACAAGTCATAGGTGTTTAAATTAAGCATTTTTACATAGTTTAATTTATGGTCACAATATAAGAATAAATATAAGATTTAGACCAGAGCACTTCATCCTTGAATACTAGTAATTTGAGTGAACGCATTTTCATTTCTAACTATGCGTCACCCTACTGTATTTACAGACTTTTAACTGTCCTTAATTTAATAGGAGTTAAAGATCCTGTAACTCACTTTTTATGGTCTTATATCATAAATATAATGCTCAAATGAAGATTTATCAATATTGTAAGTTCCAAAAAGCATTATTTGTAAAGATATTACCGAATTTACATTTCATGTTAATAAAGGGAGGTAATTAGAAATTTATTTTCTATAAAGTCTAAGTTAAAGTTTTCAATAAGACTTTAATGCATATATTTAAATGATTAAATATAATGTGAACAAATAGATCTATTTGTAGTACATATTTTACATATTCTTCGATGTTTGAAAATTGTTTTAGAAGCATAATTACACACATAAAATTTCACTCAAGTATGGTAACAACACAATTTTGCGTTATCATCTGATTTTCAACTTTATACCCCTAGACCAAATACATGTACTGAACAATTTCGTAAGTCTTTTGTTTATTCTGGATCTTGTATTTGGAACGGCCTTCCTGGCTATATTAAGTCTGCTACATCTGTGAGCCATTTTAAAACCTTATACTTGAGATATTATCACACACTAATGTATACAAATTGATAATCTCCTGTATGTATTTACATTTATGTATTTTAATAGTTTGAATATGTTAAATTCATATTCTTCCTTGTTGCGGGCCTCATGGAAGATTGATATGTTTGTGCAAATGAGTTCTTTCGATAAATAAAGTCTTTATAATAATAATAATAATAATAATATTATTATTATTAATTATTATTATTAGTCGCCGGTAGAAACCGGCGACTATATTTGTAACAGTTTAATATTATACCTATGGTAGGAGAAGCCCTTAAAATCTGAAAATAAAAGCATATCAATTATTGAACAATTAAAGACCACACTTGTTTTTCAGTAATCTCAAAAATTCAAACATATGATAACTTTTTTGAATGAAATGAAATATACACATATTGACATCTTAAAAAGCAACATTACAATTTTCATAAAATGAATCAATAATGTATCACTAAGGATCAGTCATTGAATATTAGGGATACTTTTACTTTTTTCTTTGTGTCAAGCGTTGCTATTTTATGATATATAAATCATGAATGATATTTGAAATGACACTTTTAAATTATTTGGTTGTTTATATTTTATGACACCTATTATATTTCATTATTTTATCTAATTATAAACTCTTTTGTAAGAATCACGTGACTACATGTTGTACGGTATCGTTATAAAATCTATTAATAGTAACAGATTGCTGATAAAAGGTGTGGCAGCTGATAAGATGCAAATCATTGTAATTTTGTATAGATAATTACATAAGTTATTTTTCATTAATCAGTTTCATATTTTATATCATTAGAAAAACCTGTATATACTCATATTTTACACATTAAAAATAAATTTTCAAAACCTTTTCCTTTTTTTCTTGCTAAAGGGTTAAACTTGGCCCTTTCTGTCAAACTTTTGACAAGAAAGTTCAATAGTTTAGTTTAGGTTGAACATCACAATATAATTTTATGCTTAAGAGGCAATATAATGGTAATCGTTGATTTCGTTGTATTCCGTCGGTATATTCCGTCGGTTTCCGTCGCGCAGGTTTCCAAAACGGTATGACGGTAGGGGTCCGGAATCGTATTAGATACATAGAAAAAATAATAAACTATCTTTGTGTTGATAGTTTATCGCACTGAAAATCAATTAAACGTTAATTATATAGTATGTAACGATGGGAATACATGTATTGATTTCAACTAAATTATATATTTTTCGATAGCGCATAATATATGGTGTACAAGATTTTTACAGTAGAATTGCATTGTTTCATGCAATAATTAAACATATGTATTTTCATTGTCACTTTGCAAATATTCGATGATCGGTATTTATTTGTCAATCTGAACAAGTAACCCATACGGATTTCAATGTATGGTACAACAGTATACATGTATGTATAAAGTACAATTACAAGAAGAATTACCAGCATATCACTTGCCTTACAAGCCTCAGTGGCAAACATTATTCAACTTATTGTTCCTCTTATTTTTATACTTGAACCATTAAACTGATATTTCCTTGTATTTATGATAATACAATCATTTTTCTATCCGGCGACTTGATGCTTTAGCATCAAAATCTCTATTATTATTAATCCAAGTCACGACTCGAAGGTAACATGTGATACGAGTCTAAAATGTACCTTTTTTGTATCTTATTTTATCATAGAGACATTAGGTTAAAAAGTGATATTATTTCAATGCAAAGTTAATATTCTGTAACTTGATATTTGTCCTCACTAGAGTATTTGATAAAATAACGATAGCGTCTGTCCAGTGACATGACATACGAAGAAAATATGTTTCTTTGTTCGTTCGTTCGTTCGTTAATGTGCGTCTGCGTGCGTGCATGCGTGCGTTCGTTCGTTTGTTTCATTGTTTAATCATATGGCGGATAATGTCTAATTTAAGCCGTAGACTTTGATAAAGAGAAAAGGATAATACGCTGCAAGCAGCTTCTATATTATAGGAGAACATTTTAGCCCCGAATCAGAATTTCAGTTTTCTTCATGATATGCAATAAAACTGAAAACAATTATCTTTAAAGACGGTCATGTGACAATCTTCCAGGAAACGTTATTATGATTTTCCGCCATGTCGGATATCTCTGATTAGATTTAGTGATTCTATGGGCGAGTTATTCATGGTTATTGACAGAGAATCGATTTTCCAAGCACAGAGAGGACAAAGCATTTTTCTAGTGAACTTCAAGTCAGTGGCAGTGTCACAGAAATAATTCTTAGGACGGACACATTTCATATTGAGTATGGTGTCCCATATGGGTAAACAGTAAATAGATCTCTTACGTTTATATGTTATCCTGGTTCAGTGATAATATCATTGAAAATTAATAAGTATAGCTATGGTGTATTTTTTGATTGCCATGGTCTCATTTTGAGCTTGTAGAAATGAAATTCAATGTCTAACACTAACTGTATTAATCACTGTCTTAAACTGAATTTAACATTATCACATTCGAGCAAGATGTAGTTGTTAATCAGATTTCTGCCTATTTAACCAGATTTCTAGGGGGAAAACTCCAATACCGCCATTTATTGGATTTATTTTTAGCACCCGACTGAGGCTATGCGTTGCTACGCTCGGAGAAAACCGTTAAAATCTATTTTTCGCAGATCCACAGGAAGTTTGTTATCGAGTTATTAAACCTACTCGTGTATGCGACTACAATCAATCTGTGTGTACAGAAAGATATTTCTTCTTTCTGCCTATTACATGCTTATCATTTAAACAATACAATGCTCGGAAATAATGGACTAAAACGATAGATACGTCGGGCAATATGTAACCAATTGTGGACAAAATGGCCCCGGTCACCAGCGCCATACGAATGTTATATGTGGCTATATTTCCAGTGATATGGAATCGAGGTAAGTAACGTTTCTGGGTTTTAGTTTTCTGCGTATTTATATTTGTTCTAATCGTCCTTGTAGATTTACATTACGTAGATTTTTGCTTAATCCAATAGGAGAAATATTCTAAATATTCGTTCCCATGGCAACGAGTTTAGTTGTATAAACCAGAAAAGCTCGCCAGGTGTATCGGAAATATTGAAATATATTTTCTTTAGCAAGGAAACGTATTTAACTAAAATGTTCGATGCCATGATATATTATACTAGCAAACGGTTTTCTTTTAAACATTGAGAATCTCCGTTTCAACTATTTATTCGTGCTGTATGTAATTTGTATTGACTCGATTATACATCTGTTGCTAGGATTATAAGTATTTGTATTGAAAATGAATCTAATTTTATCAACTGTGTCTCTTAACGACGTAATATATCAACTTCTCGCAGCGGTTGCTTCCCCTGATGAAAGCCCCGATCACAATTTCCGGCTCTTTCCGCCAATTTTCGGATAAGGACCTCGAGCATGAAAGACAGAACGCGGGTGAAATTTCGGTCCAACTAAACATGTTAAAGGCCCATTTTGTCTCAGAAATGCTTTTATTTTTATTTTGTAAGTTGTTTTTATTGTTAATGTCCGGTTATATTTTACAAAAAGTTACACATTGGCTAGTTATCACTTTTTGGCAATAAGTAAAGATAAAGTGATTAAGTATCTTGTATGGAAGTCAAAATACTACTTTGTTTACATTTTGCTACTTTTATGAAAAATAATGTCATATTCAGAACTTCTTTCTGCAGGTGAAATGCATCTAGCATGCTCTTTTAAACCATTAAAATAAATTTTATAAAAATCATATTTTCTCTTTTTATAGAAGGATATATATATATTCTTTTCTCGAAGCATAATGTGCCTTTAACCAATTGTATGTAAAACCTTTGTTGATTTAGTTTATATTCATAAAGCGTCTACTTAAATGAAATAAATTGATAGATATTCAAGTAAAAGGTAATTTCTTTCAATATAAATTGACAATACCTAGCTAGTTTTTAATAAATAATTATGTTTAGCGAGCTTAGCGCTTAATGTGACGGTATTACAAAGGAAATCTAGAACCTGGTAAGATACTTTATTAAGCACACACACACACACACACACATACTTGTACAAGTATCTATTTGAGGACTATGATTTATACCCGCTTTTCGAGGACCCTATCTAAATGTGGTCTGA